CCACACGGCGGCGCAAGCGAAGGCGGCAGCGACGGCAAGACACGTGGGAGGCCTAGGACAAGACGCTGACTAGACATAGCGCGCAGACAAGGAAGGGACGGGTGCCCCATCCGGTGGTGCCACAGAACGGTGGGGTGGGCAAGCGACCGGCAGGAGCACGACGCAGCGACTGGAGCAGACGTAGGAACCTGACACGACACAGACACCTGGGGGGACGAAGCAACCTGGTGAGACGCGGGGACCCGAACAGGGGGGGGAACCGGGGGCAGTGGCAGTAGGGGCGGCTGCTGGTGCGACCGCTGGTGCAGCTGCTGCGGCTGCGGCTGCTGCTGCTGCTGCGGCTGCTGCTGCGGCGCACGCGGGCCAGTGTGAAGAGTGTAGAGACCTGAGCCCGGCTCAGCAGTAAAGGTAGCAAGAGGCTGGTAAGAGTCTCCGTCAACACACACCGCAGTCTCTCCAGAAGGCTCAAACCACACACCCACGTGCTGACTCACGAGGGGTCGCACGCCCACCAAGTTCCGGGAGAACGAGGGGACGTGAAACCCAGTGAGAGACCCGGAGGGAGCAGCAGGACACGGTAAAGTGGTAGTGTGACGTGCAGTGACTGGTCCCGTAGTGGGATCAGCCAAAGCCACAGAAACAGGCGCAGGAAGTGGTGTAAGTGTCGTGCTGTCCCGGAAGAAGCAGTGTGAGGCTCCAGAGTCCAGCGTGAACGACAGCGAAGCGTCCTCTGAGGTAGTCGCTGGTCTAGAGTCTACACAAGAACCTACACTAGCAACAGGCAACTGAGCAAGACTAGCACCTAAGCTAACAACACCAGAGTAAACAGAGGCAGAAACACTAGAGTCAACAACACCATGCATAGCATGAGGAGCACCAATCAGATCAACTAACTGCTCAGCAGACATGCCCCACAGAGCGGAGCCGTAGCGCTGAACCAGAGGAAGCCAGTCAAGAGCAGGACCGCCAACCCCGTAGGCCAACCGGACCGTGTCAGTGAGCTGAGCAAAGCACTGACCAGGGGGGTGAAAGCGGCCACAAGGGTGGCCCCGACGAGGACCTGTCAGAACCTGATAGGTGCAGGGAGGGTAAGAAGCACCGCGCTGGGGCTGACGCAGCCCCGACCCCGGAGCCAGCTGCTGACGCTGCTGCTGCTGAGGCTGGCGGGAGGAAAGGGGCTGCTGCTGCTGCTGAAGGTGCTGCTGACGCTGAGCCTGGTACCACGCCGCTGCTCCACCTAGCGGGGTCGGCAGTACAGGAGGCGACTGACGAGCTCGGGGGTCGCCGCCACCAGCAGGCGCAGTGGAGTCACCAGCCGCTGCACGAGGGGTCTCTCCAGACGCTGCACTCCCACCACCGCCAGTCGCAACAGCACCCCCACTACCTCCGCTACCTCCACCTCCACCTCCACCAGAACTACCTTTCTTGCCCCCCTTGCCGCGGGACCGCGACGCAGTCGTAACAGCAGCCGCAGTCGCGTCAGTAGCGGCAGTGGCGAGAGAGGCAGTGAAGGTGGGTAACTGCGGGACTGTGCACCCGTGGAAGAGTGGGGGGGACACAGTACCAGAGGCGGCAGCTACCGAGCGAAGGTTGCTCTCGACGTCCTTGAGTGCAGACTCAAGGACCTCGATAGTCAGCTCACTAGGGTGCTTCAGCAGAAGCGCGTCACGAACGGAGGCTAGGCGGTCAGGGAGGCTAGTGGCGATGAAATAGACAGTAATCGCCATGGGGGGAGGAAGCAGTGCAAGCTGTGCCTCAGTGCAAGCAGCGCAGTAACTAGCGTCGAGCGAGCGGAGGTGAGCGATCAAGTCAGCAGAGCGCTCAAACGAGGCAAGATCAGGAAACAGGAACGGGAGGAAAAGACGGCCAAGAGAGACAGTAGCGGGAGTAGAGTAGCGGGCCTTAATCGCAGTGAGGTACGCAACAGCGGTGCGAACCTGAGTAAAGTGGACCTCCTCTGACTCAGGGAGGAGGCTGCTGAGTGCGATGCAGGCCGCAGCGCCACGCGACGTCCAAGCCGTCCGGTCAGCGCGCTGACGGGCAAAGCGAGCCGTAGCAGCGTCGTCAAGGGCATAGCCTAAAGCTGTAGGCTCGGGGGGCTCGGGGAGGTCACCAGTAGCGTGCGACCAGAGGGTCTCGCCCCCCTGGACCTGACTCTCTAACAGACGGCGAGCGCGAAGAAGCCAGACGGAAAAGTCAAGTGGTCTACCGTCAGCGTCGAAACGAAGAACTCGCGGAGTCGCCATAGTGAGAACTAACGCGAACAAACGGGCGAGTAACAACCGGGGAGAAGAGGCAAATTAGGGTTCAGGTGGGAAGGGGACTCAGTCGCAGCGGAAGAGCGGGCTAGGGCGACGGGCCAGGGCGTAGGGTAGGGCGACGGGCTAGGGCGTAGGGTAGGGCGACGGGCCAGGGCGTAGGGTAGGGCGACGGGCCAGGGCGTAGGGTAGGGCGACGGGCCAGGGCGTAGGGTAGGGCGACGGGCCAGGGCGTAGGGTAGGGCGACGGGCCAGGGCGTAGGGTAGGGCGACGGGCCAGGGCGTACGGTAGGGCGACGGGCCAGGGCGTAGGGTAGGGCGACGGGCCAGGGCGTAGGGTAGGGCGACGGGCCAGGGCGTAGGGACGGGACAGGGCGACACGACGGGGCAGGGCGGCGCGATGGGGCAGGGTGACGGGACGGGGCAGGGCGACGCGACGGGGCAGGGCGACGCGACGGGGCAGGGTGACGGGACGGGGCAGGGCGACGCGATGGGGCAGGGCGACGGGACGGGGCAGGGCGACGCGACGGGACAGGGCGACGGGACGGGGGGGAAAGGGCGGGCACGACGTGACGGGGGGAACGGGCGCGACGCGACGGGGGGAAAGAGCGCTAGGCGACGGGGGGAAAGGGCGCGACGCGACGGGGGGGGGGGGGGGGGGGGGGGGGGAAGGGCGCTAGGCGACGGGGAGAAAGGGCGCTAAGCGACGGGGGAGAGGGCGCTAGGCTCGGTACTAGGCGCGGTAACAACGGAACCGGTACGAACGAGAGGTAGGATCAGGCTCGGGAGGGACGAACGGAGAACGGAGGAACGGGATCCCACAGGATCCTAACCTAGCTGATACCATGTCAGAATGAGGAATGATGATCCATTGATGTTGGTTGGGGTACATATAACAAACCCTAACTTCTGTACCCCCTAAGACAAACCTCACTACAGGCTACAACATTTGACAGCGCGTTCCGGCCAAACCTGCTTGCGCCAAATTTAACGCTCCAGAGTGCAGAACGCCATTTCTGGGGCAGACAAATTTAACGGGGTGAAGATTCTACGATGTTGCTTCTCCAGGCAAATGTCCGCACAACTTGTGCGGACCCAATTCTGCCTCGAGAGGTAGATCAGCCAGCGCACAACTTATGTAGGGCAACAATTTGAGAGATTTGAGAGTTTGACGAGACGTCGTGGTAACACCGCCCAGCAAATTGAGAAAATTGACATTTGGTGCGGCGAGAAGCTACATGGAAGGACTGGGACCGTACATTTGATGCGGAGGCAATAACGCCTACAGAACGCGGCCAGTGGGCAATCCTCACTTGTTACGAGGTCCCGAACGCGACCGCAGAGTCGTGGGCTGGATTCAGGCCCTACGAAGTCAGACTTTTTTCTCTGATTTGCACAAAAAACTCTGATATTTCAGACTTTTTTCCCAGTGTACTCTGTTAAAATCAGACTTTTTTGGGCCCAAACTCTGTAATTTTCAGACTTTTTTTAAGGCTAACTCTGAGAGTTCAGAGTTTTCTGAGAGTGTACTCTGATCATTCAGAGTACAAACGCGTCCTTGACTGGTGATTTGGACTTACGGGTCACAACAGATTCGCAATGTCGACGCAAAATCGCCTTGACACAGCAAATCCGAGCCTTACAGCACAAGATTTTCGCCCAATCATAGCAAAATCTCCCTGACACAACAGATTTGCGCTGTCAGAGCACAACACTTTTCGACCAATCACAGGAAACTCGCCCTGACATTGCAGATTCGCTCTTTCGCACCACAAGATTCGCCCTGACACATACGGTACCGTATATTCGCCCTGTCAGAGCATGTTTTATCGGAAATCCCCTTAGTGTTGTGTGTTTCGGTAGCAGATGAATGAAACATTGATTACATTCCGATGAAACATTGAATACATTGTTTTTGAATGATCATACTTTTTTGAAATTTCAGCCTTTTTTTTATACCAACTCTGAGATTTTCAGACTAAAATTGTGTACTAGTCTGACGAATCAGACAGGCCAAAAACGAATCTGAGGGCCTGGCTGGATTAGTGACTATCCATTAGACATCGTCCTCGCAAATTTCACTAGGGCCAATTTCACCCCCCTGTGTATTCGTTTTTTATTTCCCCAAACTTGAGGCTTGTTTCGAAAAAATTGGCTATAAGGAAAGCAATGACAGGGACTGCGCACATGAGTCAGCGGAAAAAACAAAAAATACATGGTCGCAGCGGAAGATTCAGTCTTTGCGTTGTGGTCTCAACGTCAGATGGGGCAACATCGAAACTTACAATGCCTCGGATAGCCTCTAGTTCGTGGGTGTCTGATACCTATAACAAAAAAAGGTCAGTATGGTTTTAAGGAATAACTGACAGGGCGTGAAATTGGCGAGGACTCTGTGTATCGAAGAATGTACACAGAACGTACAGTCCATGGCTCAACGAGATACTAATAACCTTCATTTGTATGCCTCTGACATTGGACCAGAATTGCGGTGGAGCAGTCATTTCAGAATTTTCCAAATCCGTGTCTGCAAATGATATATCAACTAGCCGTTGATAGAATTTATTCAAGCATATCTCTCATGTCATCTTTACAGTGCTCACGCTAGGAGCGAGCATCAAATGAGAAGTTCCCCAAGTCTAATCAGGAGTTCATGGCTGCTGAAGAGCATCAACGCCATGCACAATGAAAAACGTCCCTCGGTAAATACCCGGATTCACAATCTGCGACCATGACAAGGCGTTGTTACTCTGCCCTAGAGCGCATGCCGACCCCTTCCGCATCAACCACGGCACGAAATACCTTTTCAGCCGGCGGCCCTCGAGCAAGGTCGGGATGCTTCTGGTGTGCTTGATATCATGAAACGTGAAAGCACCGTCCAGCACATGAAGAAGGGCCATGGTCGCGAATTTGACTATCTGCTCCGGGTCCGGGGTCCCGCCGGTTTTGACCAGCGCACCGATCCCGGCCGATCCGAGCGCCGCGTTTTGCGGGATGAGAACGGTCTTCTGGCCGAGTACGGAGAGGTCCGCGTCCTCCGGAAAGCTGTCTGTGGGTGGGAGGAGGGGGAGAAAGAAGAGGTATGAAAGGGGGTGGTATGGTACTAGTGGATGGTTCAGGGGTATGGAAAAGAACGGCAGGGGAGGAAGGTCTAAAAGCAGAATCCATTTAAAGACGACGTTGTCATCGATCGCGAATGCACGAAGACTCTTCAGGGAGTAGCTTGGAACCTGGAGGTGTTCTCGCACCTAGTTTCGGAAGGATTTCTTTGATGGCGTTGGCGACGAGCGCGTATCTCCCCAGGTATTTAAACTGCATCATGGCGAGGCGAATGTCCTGAAGCTCCTTTATCAGCGTAGCTTTCGTTGGCTGCGCGGCCGCGGCGCACAAGAGAAGAGAGAGAAGCGCTCCGACGATGAGTCGCTGGAGCAACAAGACGTCGCGAGTCTTCATGGCGAATGAACAGAGGCGAGAAGGGACGAGAGGGCTGCCCGAACGAATGCGGTTGCCGGTGATACTAGTGCTGCTGCGAGAATGCGACGCCAATAAACGGCTCAACGAGCAGGTTAAAAAATAGACAGACTACTACGAGCGAATTTCTTTCCTTATGTGGGCTCGGTTCCGGCTAAATGAGCGTCCTATCTAGAAAAAGCCTGGCACAAACTTGTGTCGTTATATACCAGTAGAATGCTCGTGCTTAGTTCGTAAGGAGCATGACAGTTCGCTGCGAAGCGATGGCTCTCGCGCGACTTCTAATGGACACGAATCTGTGTCGTAAAGGCGAACAACATATGAACACAGTATGCGACGCATGCAGAGCAGAATGGAGACGAGCGGGGATGGAAAACAGCGATTGCAAGAAAGCTTGCTTGGAATCGCCGCCACATGCCACCGAGAATGAGAGAGAGCGAGGGGGTTGGGGGAAAGGGGGAGGAGAGGGGAGGAAGGAGAGGGGAGGGGGGAAAGAGGGGAGGGTAGGAAGAGGTGCGGAAATCTTCCATTGGCAACAGGCCGTGGTGGAAATGTTTCAGCGATACACACGATGCCCGGTTGAGCCCCCCGACCTCGCCTTACCCTCTGGGCGTATAAACGATTCCTGCAGTTCGCGGAGGTTTCGTCAATTCGTCTCGAGCAAAAAGGGCTTATAAAAAGATTTGTAACTCACCGTTGACTTTTTGACTGCATTCTCTTCAGTCAGACTTCAGTTTCTGTGGTTCGTATTGGTTGACGTGCCTGTAACGTGGGTGCAGCCTCACGGCACAAAACCCACGGGTGCAAGGTTTCCATCATGTGTGAGGCAATTTCGCGTGCAGGGGGTGAGCATCATGTGTATGCTTGGTTGACTGGTTGGCTCCGCCCTGGCTGCCCTGGCCTCCCTCCTCACGCAAGAACATTATTTGGAGTCGTCTTGGCGAGAAAATATTTGACTTTCGCGTGGTGGTCAGGGGAAGGGGCGGGGAGGGATGGGAAAACCAGTTCGGGCAGATAAATAACCAGGGTGCTGTACTCTGCAAGGTTCTAATTTGGTTTAGGTACAGTTCTTTGTATTACTTATGGACAGCATTCAGCATGCATATTCCTTGAACCCGTGTCCCGGGTGACGACAGAGGCACAACGCAAGGGAGGTACAGTACTGAAGAAAAATACGGGAGGAAATCACAAGCTGTTTTCCAGATGAATTCCGTGGCAGCTTGTCACTACTTGAGCTTGCCATGTGCTTTTTGGGCTGCACGAGAGGGTGAAAACAACAGACTTGGGCTAGGGAGTTTCTCTTACCCGCATTTCTGTTACAGGATGACTAGTTTTCTCGTTAAAAGACGTACACATACAAAATGCAATTCGCTTAAAAGAGCCTTCTCATTGATTACAGCACGATCGAATCAGGGACAGGAATGCAAAGAAGTGGACGTGGAAGGCGGGTTTTGCAGCCATTTGGACGCGACAAAGAAGGGGCAGCATCAGGCCAGGGCAGCTACACTGAGGCGGGTTATCACCTAGCCTCCAAGCGCAGTTACGACTGTTCTTGCTTTTGTACACTTGCCTATTCGGTGTATAATGCAATTACCAAAAAAAAAAAAAAATGATTACAGCACGAGTTCCTCTAACAGCTAGTTACAGCTCAACTAAACATCATGGTGAGGGTTAGGGAGGACGTATTCTTCAAGGGCAGACCTACCATCACAGTTTTAACCGAAACTCACATCTTGTTCATGTTTCTTGATGGGCTCTTTCATAAGGTAGTGGCTTCAAGTGCACAGGCTTTGCAAAGAAGTGCTCTAGAAGCCAGGGACAGTGGACAGAGAAACACATCATATCATCCAAGGAGAGAAGAAAGCATGGTAGGACAAGGAAAGCACGCAACCTCCAGCGCATTCTGTTCTCATCTGTACAGCAGAAAGTGGCCAGGAAGAGAAGGTAGGCAACATAAGAATAACAGCAGGGAGAAAAACAGCAATCCAACCCTCTCCCTGCTAACCAAGGACTGAAAATTAAATCAAATTCCTGATTCGCACCCCCTCTAAGCAGCTGCGGCTGATTCTGCTTGCTCCGGTGCTGTCTTCTCTCCCTCTGCTTGCCCTACAGTCGTCGTCCCCACTTGCACTTCTTCCTCGTCCTCTGTCTCAGTCTCTTGGCCTTGCTCCAGAACGGCCTGTGCAAGAACCTCGGATGTGACGACCCGTGCCACCACCACGCTGATGTCATCCTGCTTGCCGCCCGAAAGCTTCTTCCCCATCATCTTCTGCCACACAGGTAGATCCCGGCCCTGTCCCGGTTTTTGGATGGGGGAGGACGGGGGGTAGGGGAGGGGGGAGGGGCGGAAGGGAGGAGAAGGGATGTCAGTGCAAGATGAGGGTGAGGAGGTCGAGGAAAAGGAAGGGGGAGAGGTGGAGAGGATGGGTGCAAGAGCATGATAGGAGAACGGTGACGAGGGAGTGTATGCGAGGAAAGGGAAGAGGGATGCAGCTGGTAAAAATAAGGAAATGTGTGGGTGGTTGGGCATGTAGTTGCATTGCATTGCATAAACGTCCCTGGCAGCATAGCATACCCAGACTCACATACTCATGCACATTAGCCTAATCCACAACAGCCGCTCTCACATGAGCAGTCAGTCCCCAAGCATCAGAAATTGCCTCCAGACACCACTCACGTGTTCTAGGGCCTCTAAGGTGTAGGGAGCCATGTACTCCTTGTCGCCTGCATGCTTTGCAGCCCTCAAGTCGCCCGTGAGCTGACTGAATGACAAAAGTGGTATTCACATTCACATCACATGCCTGGTAGAATTGCACTCGCGTGTTCTAGGGCCTCTAGGGTGTATGGAGCCATGTACTCCTTGTCGCCTGCATGCTTTGCAGCCCTCAAGTCGCCCGTGAGCTGACTGAATGACAAAAGTGGTATTCACATTCACATCACATGCCTGGTAGAATTGCACTCACGTGTTCTAGGGCCTCTAGGGTGTATGGAGCCATGTACTCCTTGTCGCCTGCATGCTTTGCTGCCAGGGCTGCTAGTGCAGTCGCTGCGACAGAGAAAGGAGGTGGGCATGACAAAACGAGAGTAGGGAGGAGGAAAAGATGGGGGGAGGGAAAGATGGGAGGAGGGAATGGGATGAGAGGATTGTGGGGGAGGGAAATATGGGAGGACAGGATGGGAAGATGCGAGATGAAGACGAGTACAGGGGAGACTCGGAGGAGGTGGTAAGGAAGATGCAGCAAGGGAAAGGAAACACATATGAGCAGCGCAAAGGAAACACAGATGAGCAGCGCGAAGGAAACACAGATGAGCAGCGCGAAGGAAACACAGATGAGCAGCGCGAAGGAAACACAGATGGCGTGAGGCTGCCTGAATGACAGCATGGGCCTCACCAGTGCGGGAGACATGCGCAGGGGAGGGGAGGCCCTGACAGCATGAATGAAGGTCACTGGTGCAGGAGATAGGTGAGGGGTAAGCAAGCAAGCTCACCGGTGCGAGAGACGTGTGCGGAGGAGGGGCCGGAGAAGACCTTGACAATGGAGGCAATGTACTTGTCAATCACGTTGTGACTCTAGAGTCGACTCAAAACTCTCACCAGTGCAAGAGACGTGTGCGGGGGAGAAGCAAGCTCACCGGTGCGGGAGACGTGTGCGTGGGAGGGGCCGGAGAAGACCTTGACGATGGAGGCAATGTCTTTGTCAAACACGTTGTCAAATAGACCATCTGACGCCATCACCACCGTGTCGCCCTCCTGCACACTGAAGCTCAGCACCTGATGGGAGGGAGGGGGGGGAAGGGGAGGGAGGGAGGGAGGGGGCGAGGGGAGGGAGGGAGGGAGGGGGCGAGGGGAGGGAGGACGGGAAGAAGTTGGGAGGTTGAGTCAAGCGGCCGTCTGGTGCCATGACCACCATGTCACCCTCCTGCACATTGAAGCTCAGCACCTGATGGGAGGGAGGGGGGAGAGAAGGGGAAAGAGGAAGGCAAGAAAGTGGGGTGTGAGTTCAGAGGCCACTTGAGGCCATGACCCCACCATGTCATCCTCCTGCACACTGAAGCTCAGCACCTGATGGGAGCAGGGGAAAGGGGAGCGAGAGGGGGAGGAAGGGAGGGGTTGAGAGAGGGTGAGGAAGGAGGAGAGCGAGAAAGTGGAGTGGAGGTGAGTCAAGCAGCCAGCTGAGAGCCATGACCACCATGTCAAATCAACCACCAGGCCATTTCCTGATGAGGCATGGGGGAAATGGGGGAGGGGAGTTGGGGTTGGGAAATAACGAGTGCGAGGAGAGAGGAGGAGAGGGAGAGGGATGGGGAAGGGGGGGAGGAGAGGGTGCGGGCGGGCAGCGAGGACCAAGACAAGTGAGGTCTAGTTGACAGAAAGAGTGTAAAGTGTCATCGCAAGTAGATCCCTCGTTCCTCATTCCCTCATCCCCTCTCGCCCACCCCCCTCCCCCTCCCTCGGGCACTTCTTCCCTTTCATCAATTCCCCTTTCCCTTCCATTTCCCTCCCTCCTCATGCACTTCCACCTCTCTCTCCTTCCCCCCTTCCCCACCCTCTTCCCCTGTCAACCCCTCCCCCTCACCTCAGCGTCATCAGCGGAGTCGGAGCTTTCAGAGCCGAACTGGAAGGGGCAGTCGAAGAAGTGCTCGTGGGGGGTGGTCTTGTGCACCACCTCGCTTCCCCGCACCACCCGCACTCCACCTTCCCCCTCCCTGTCGCACACTCCCCTTCCCCCCTCCCTTTCCCTCCCTCCCGTGCACTTCCCCCTCCCCCTCCCCTTCGCCTCCTCTCCCCTCCCCACCCCCTCCCTTTCCCCCTCCCCTCCCCTCTCCCCATCCCCATTCCCATACCCCATCAACCCCCCCCACCCCTCACCTCAGCGTCATCAGCGGAGTCGGAGCTTTCAGAGCCGAACTGGAAGGGGCAGTCGAAGAAGTGCTCGTGAGGCGTGGTCTTGTGCACCACCTCGCTGCCCCGCACCACCCGC